AATCTGCATGAGCTGCATTCCAGAAGGAACTTGCATCATTTGATTACCTGTAGTACCAGCAAGTCGCAAAGGTGTGTTAACGCTTCCCGCAACACTTGATGCTCCACTTGTGGACGCTGAAGCTCCACGAACTATAGCTGGAACAGTAGCTGGGACAGTTGTTCCAATCTGATTAAGATTGAGCTTCTTCCCATAGTCAACATATTGATCCTGATTCTTCCATTGGGTCTTTGGTAGCAGTCTATCTGGGTATTTTGGAGACATATGGTCTTCGTTGCCACATACATAACATGCTGCCTTCTTTCCATCCTTCGGCTTCCCCTTTCCTTTTCCTTTACCTTTACCTTTATTAGCTTGGTCTTTTCCTTGGTAGAGGTTCACTCCCGGATTTTTACTCACTTCCATTTGAATTTTCAACATATCTTGTGCTTTGCTGACCGTCTTTGGATAATAATCCACTTCTCTGCCATAGTTTGTCTGAAGATCCAGCATCAGAGGAGCTGTTCTTGTTTGATCGCTGTTGCATAGAAATCCTGTTGCAAGAACGGCTTCAAAGATATCATCCTTGAACTTGTTTTGAGCAGCAGTATTGGTGCTAGCAATAGCAGCATACGCTTTTGTCTTGACTTCAAAATCTCGGAATCAGGCCATGCCATATAGATCTTGCAGGACTTCAGCCTGTCTCAAGAATCGTTCCTTGAGATGCATCAAGTTTTCTGTTGTTCCTTGCTTCATAGCAAAGAACTTTTGATTCGCTTCCCAGAAATCCAAGAAGTCATACTCAGCATCAGCACTCTTCTTCATGAATCGTTCAATATGTTTCAAGAGTTCGATCGGATCTTCAAGAATAGTCGTGAAATCGGCTTCACCTTGAAGCTTGATATCCATCGCCTTCGTCACAAACTTCAGCATGATGCTTGATTTGACGGTTCTCTTGTTTGTCTTGAAGTAGGCTGATCTTCGCATGTTCTTGTCGATCTTTGCAGAATAGAGAATCTTGTTTTGGGCCATCTCTGTTTCTCTTGCAACAGCTTCACTTTGAGTTGGAGCGTTCAATCTTGGAGCGATCGCACAAAAGTAAGAAGTGGATTCGACTTCTACGACAATTTTGTGTTGAATCCAGTACTTTGGGACATCTTGTATTATTCCCTACTCCATCGTACATAACACCAATATCTCACTTGTATAGGGTCATTCCCTTTCTGTGTGGATGTAGATTGTCCGACAGACTTGCGTCCCGCATACTTGCGTCGAATCCCGACATCACGATCAAAGTCCGATCGTACGTGTCGAAAACTTTGTACTTGAATAGTTTCTTTTCGGAACGTAAAAACTCATATTTGGTCATATCCCAACAAAGAACTTCAATCCAAGTAAATTGGATCCAAAGATGGAAGGTCCGTATCAAATTACTTGTGTCTTTACAAATAGAATTGTTGAAGTTCACAGGAGTCCTCAAGTCTTTGAGAGACTGAATATACGGAATCTTGTACTGTTTTGTCAAATCTAGCAAGCGATTGTTGTATGAACTGTGGATGTAAGGGCGCCTTTGTGACTACACTTTGATACTGAATGATATGATAATACTATGATCATACGACAAGCTTTGATCATAGAGGGGACGAGTGAAACGGCCGATAGAACAGGCCCAAGGTATTGGGACTGTAGAAGCTCCTTTGTATGGGTACAGAACTAGACCTTAGTCAAAAGGTCCACGTAAGCACTTTGAAGTGCATCTCTATAGACATCCACAAATTTCTCTGACTCTTCTGTGAAGGTTGGGTTACTGCAGAGGCAACAACCGCGCCTGTTTATTGACAACAACTTTGGCTCGCGATCAAAATATACTTAAAGGATTGAATAAAACCTCTCAATCAAAACCAAGGGACCGCTTTTCAGACCAAGATATTTTTGACATTCAAGAAGAGAAAAAATCAATAGACAAATTGAATTTTCTATTTAAGGTCTATTTTTATTCCTTTAGGCCTGTTCCATCAACGAGCGGACCGCCAAGTGAAACCTTTAGGCCTGTTCCCGTCGACAAGCGGACCGCCAAGTGAAATACATATCTTCCTGCGGCAGGGGGTGCTTTCCAGATCCAAAATTTTTGGGACCGCCAGTCCCTCTGGAAGCTACTGCTGAAGGGAAGGAAGCAATGTCGAGTCAGCTCGCGAAAAGTCCGCCGCCTTATGAAGAAGACTAAGTTGCCCGATGCGTGGAAGAAGACTACGGTTGAATTGGAGATGGCATTGCGTAATGACAGGCAGGAGTACCTGCATGCCAAGAAAAACCACGCGGTTTCATGGCGCAAGGAGTTCTTGAATGTTCAAGTGAAGAAATCTAAGAAGAAACAATGGACATCGCGCAAGGCTAGGGATCACTTTTTGAGGTTACGGCGGATGAAGCAACGAGAGGAGGCGAGACGCCGCCGCCGCGCCCAATCAAAAGGATCTACCGGCGGTTTGCAAGCGATTCAAGTTGAGGAGACGTTACCTACCGGACAAGTGGATCTGCGAATTCTCACCGACCGGAGACAAGTCGAGCAAGGGAGCATGCAGGAAAATCGCGCACGCTATGACCAGACTCGATCGCCCTATACGACTCCTCCCATGGACGAACCTTTGTATTCAATGTTCACCGGGGCAGACGCAGAGCGGAACTCCCATGCACTTCTGGAGGGCCGCATTCCCATGCTGGAGGGGATCGATCCTTACACTAAGTCATTCCTGGAGCAGTGCCGTTTCCATCAAGGGCACTCTATGATCCCGATGGAAGTGTCGCCGGCAGACCATACTTACTTCTGGTCCCGTAATCCAGAGAATAAGGGCTCGGAACCGCATGGGCTTCATAACGGGCATTTCAAGGCTGGGATTCATTCCCCCATGGTGGCCCAATGCGACGCTCTCTTCCGCCACATACCCTTGACAACTGGGTTTGTCCTGACAACTGGCGGCATCTGATGAAAGAAGCCAGGCGACTTTTGGCTGAAAAAAATGCGTATGATTCAGCTCATGAATTCTGAATCCCAAGCAAACTACAAGAAACTGGGCCGCCTGGCCATGGCCTACGGCGAAGAACATCACCTCTTGGCCGATGGACAGTGCGGGTCTAGAAAGCACCATCAAGCGATTGATCTTGCCCTGTCTAAACGTCTTGTGTGGGACCTTCTGATTCTTCAGCGCCGCTCTGCGGGGTGGATTTCAAATGACGCAAAGTCGTGTTTTGATC